TGCATAGTCCTTTCACTTTTCTGCTCCAAGCTGCTGGGTTCTGCATTAAGTCCTTGTGCTTCTGGGGCCGTGGCTGTGCTGGAGAGCCGCTCGTGGGGGGCAACTGGTGACCTCGGTAGGGCGTGAAGGACGGACCAGAACGCCCCCCTTCCCATGAGGTTTTAGTCGCCCCCACACCCCCCGGCTCATATCTGCTGTCCACAAGGCCCCCATGTGGCCGCCATCTTTCTTTCCAGAGGGAGGAGGGCGGAAGGGAGCAACACCCTTTCCCCTCTGGGCAGAAATGATTGCCTGGATTAATGCATAATCCTTTCACTTTTCTGCTCCAAGCTGCTGGGTTCTGCATTAAGCCCTTGTGCTTCTGGGGCTGTGGCCGTGCTGGAGAGCCGTTCGTGGGGGGCAACTGGTGACCTCGGTAGGGCGTGAAGGACGGACCAGAACGCCCCCCTTCCCATGAGGTTTTAGTCGCCCCCACACTCCCGGCTCATACCTGCTGTCCACAAGGCTCCCATGTGGCCGCCATCTTTCTTTCCAGAGAGGAGAGGGCGAGTGGGCAACACCCTTTCCCCTCCAGCACAGACTTTAGATTCTTAATGGGGAAAAAATTTGGGAAAAGTCTAGGATTTTTTTTCTTTTTATTTATTTATTTATTTTATTTTTTTGCTTTTTGGGTCACATCTGGCAGTGCACAGGGTACTCCTGGCCCTGCACTCAGGAGTTACCCCTGGCAGTGCTCAGGGGACCATATGGGATGCTGGGAATTGAACCCAGGTCGGCCGCGTGCAAGGCAAATGCCTTACCCGCTGTGCTATCTCTCCAGCCCCTTTTTTTCTTTTTAAAACAAGCAGTTTTCAGTTCTACTTTCATATACAAAGCCCCCCTCCCGACCCCCCAGAAATTGCAGGTGATAAATTATACCAAAAAATGGCCCAACATTCACAAATAAGAGAACGAGTATTTGTTTTAACCTCAAAATGTCTACCATTTGTATCATTTTAAACAATTTTCTGATTTATCCAGATTATTTGGTTAAATAATTCAATAACGGTCCTGACTGCATTGGCTGAGGGAATCCCAGCTCTATGTGGCGAGAGGAGTTTAGAAAAACAGTGATGGGGGGCTGGAGTGATAGCACAGCGGGTAGGGCGTTGGCCTTGCACGTGGCGATCTGGGTTCGATTCCCAGCATCCCATATCGTTTCCCCGATCACCCCGAGGAGTGATTCCTGAGTGCAGAGCCAGGAGTAACCCCTGTGCAATGCCCGGATGTGACCCCCCCCCAAAAAAAAGAGAAAAAAAAAAGAAAAACAGTGACGACCAAATGATATTTTAGGTGGTTATTTTGTTTTGTCTTGGGGCCACCTGGGGGATTCTCAGGGATCACTCCTGGGGACTCAGGGAACCTGCGTTGGCTGCGGGCCAGGCCAGTGCCCACCCGCCGTCCTACGGCTCCAGCCCTGAGATTGTTCTTCTGCTGGGACTCTCCAGCACAAGTACGGTGGGGTTCTGTGTTAAGGGAAGCTTTCAGAGAAACATACCTCACTGTTTGTGTGCAGGTCACCAACTGGCAAACAACACGATCCTTTCGTGTTTTTCTACATGTCTTTGGGGGAACAGGGAGATGAAAAGGAATTCATATTTAACGAGCGTTTTCTATGGAGCAGACATTTTGCTCGGTCTCTACATGCATTATTTCACATAATGAGGAGGAAGCAGCCTTAAATAACAGGTTAAATAAGTTTCTCAAGCTAATTTAGCTAATGAGCGGGGAAAGTGAAGGCTCTCGCTTTACCCGAGAATCTCATTAAAATCCCTGATGTTCTTTAACAAAGTTGTAAGGCAGCCATTTAATTGCCGAGTAATAAAATCTCCTTTGAATTAAATGAGACCGAATGAACTGTGATTACTCTTGTTTTTTTGCTCTCTAGTAGAAGGCGAAGCGTCACCGCCTGGGCAGAACGTGCCCTTTCTCTCCGAAAACTGAATTTGGTGTACCGTCCTCCGTCCGTTTGCTCGAGCGGGCACCAGCAATGTCTCCATTGTGAGACTTGTTGTTACTGTTTTTGGCATATCGAATACACCACCGGTAGCTTGCCAGGCTCTGCCATGCGGGTGAGATACTCTCGGTAGCTTGCCGGGCTCTCTGAGAGGGGTGGAGGAATCGAACCTGGGTCGGCCGCGTGCAAGGCAAATGCCCTCCCCGCTGTGCTGTCGCTCCATTTCTTTATGTGTCCTAAAACAGACACTACACCAGGGCATCTGTTTCAGGCCTTGGGTTTCTAAGAATTTCTTGGGCAGACGGGATTATGAATGGAAGCTGTTCAGCAGCCCAGTGTTCACTGGCCAGTTTTTTTCTGCTTTTTTTTCTGTTGCCGTTTCTTGGACGTTCTTCTGGAAATAATCTGTGCGCATGCAGGCGTGCGATGTGCCCCTCAGAGTATTTTGCGTCTCTCCTCTTTCTTCTTGTAGCATGACACACGTTGGAGAACGATCTGCTGGGTCATCGTTCCCTCTTGCACCTGAGCACTGAGAGCTGAGCTTCTCCTCACCTTAATTCTGCCACTTCCCCAAACCCAGGTTATCTAGTTCCTTCCCGGCCTGTTGCCACTCTCACCCTGCTTCTGTGTCCATGGCGTACCTCCGTGCGAACCTCAAGGACGTAGGCATACGTTTTGGATACGTCCAAGTGTGGGCATGTTTTTTATTGTCATTTTTGGGCTGCCCCCGGCGGCACTCAGGGCTGACTCCTGGCTCTGTGCTCAGGGATCACTTCTGTCGGGGCTCTGGGGACCATTTGTGGTGCTAAGTATCAAATCTGGGTCGGCTGCTCTCTCTCCAACCCAGCAGTCGGTGGAGATCACTCTGATTAATACTGCCACCAGCAGAGCCCAAGAATGTTTTGCCAGCATTCAATGATCACAATCATCCTGTTGTTGTTGTTCGTCGATTGCCTTGAGCAGGCCCCAGTAACGTCTCCTTCACCCTAGCCCTGAGATTTTTAAAAGTGCCATATTCAAGGCTCTTTCAGGGTTAGGAGAATGAGACCCATCATTGTTACTGGTATTTGGCATGCATATTGGGCACGCCACGGAGAGTTTGCCAGACTCTGCCATGTGGGCAGGTTACATTCGGTAGCCTGCCAGGTTGTCCACAGTAAGAATGAGATAATAAGATGTCCGGGAGCTGGGTTTTATAGTCTCTGGGTCTTGGCGGTTGATGGGATTACACAGCGCCAGGGGGCAGTTGGTGGGTGTGACCCCTGCCTACTGGAAGATGGAGGATCTGGGTGGAGGATGCTCAGCCCTTATCCTAGCAGGCTTGGAGATCTCAGCCCCGGGACTTGCATGCCTTTGTTCCTCTGCCAGTACCTTCATGCGTGTGGAGAGTGGTCTCAGCATGGTGGTGGCTGGTTCTGGAGGTCTTCAGCTACCGGGGCCCTGCTCAGGGTGGGGAGGGAAATGGGGAGGGAAACTCAACCCTCCCCCCCTCCAAGAGACCAGGTGAGGACTACCAGGTGCGGGGGCCGGAGACTGGCGCCAGCATTGTGTTCTCAAATTAAAAAAATTTTTTTTAATCTTTTCCAGCCTGATAATAAAAAAATGTTGGTTTAGTTTTAATTGCTCTTGTTGTGAATGAGGTTGTTCATCTTAAACTACATCTCTCTCTTCATTTGTCTAGTTGTGTCTTTTGCCCATTTTTGTTGTTTCGTGGATGATCTTATACTGGATGCTGTGTAAGAATTGTCTAGAAATTGAGGAAATTTGGCAAGTATTTTCTCAGTTTCTTATGTAGTTTACCTTTTTTTTCATGTAGTTTACTTTTTTCCTTACCGTGTTTGAAAAAATTTCAGAATCTTTTATGCCCCTTTATCAGAATGCCGTCGAATTTTACCACATGGACGGTGGTATGCATGATCATTGCAAAGGAATGATAAACCAGTTAGAAATGTATACAGAGGAGAAATATCAGACAAAAAAACACTGTCCTCCCGTTGTTCATCGATTTGCTCGAGTGGGCCCAGTAATTTCTCCATTTTGAGACTTGTTGTTACTGTGTTTAGCATATTGAATACGTCATGGGTAGCTTGCCAGGCTCTGCCATGTGGGCGAGATCTTGCTGGGCTCTCTGAGAGGAGCGGAGGAATCGAACCTAGCTCAACCAGTCTGGCTGCATGCAAGGCAAACGCCCTACCGCTGTGCTATCGCTCCAGAAATACCATCGTGGGTATTTTTCCTTAGAATAAAGTTTCTAGACCGTTCAATGATATCAGCAATGCTGTAAAAGCGGAAATAAGATTACCGCTCAGAAAGGAAAAGGATTTCATGTAGATCACATCTCTACCGCGTGCAACACTCTCTAGTGTAGTCTGAGGTTAGGAAAAAGACTCCATGGTGATGACGGACAGAAACAGTGAAAAGCGAGACAGTTCCTCGGGCCTCACTCCACTTGGCCTCCCTCACTTCCTTACTTTTGGACCTTTGCGACTTAGTGCCTGCCAAGATTTGCTGGGAGGTGAGATCGTTTCCCTGCCAACCCCTTTTCATTGTCCCTAAAGATAGGATCATAAAAGTATTAATGAAAGTCGTTGATGGCTGGTGACCCGGGCGAAGCAGATCGGGGATTTGAAAGTGCCGGAGGTCATAGAATACGAAAGTCTGCCAGTCAGTTCTCAGCCGCGTGCAGCGCTGACCCGGGTGGGCTGGTCAGCTGCCTCCGTAGCTTCTGATTTGGCCTCTCTGGGCGTCTTCGTCTTTGCCTGGGAAAGTGTTCCCTGAGGGCCCCTCGGCCCGATGCCTGCTGCTGGGCCTCTGACACGGGAGCGCGTCAGGGGGGACCTCGTTCTGGGCTTGTCCACACCCCTGGGCTCCCCTGGCTTTCTTTCGTGGCTGGAGGGGATCGTTGGCTCCCAGTCCTGACTCACCGCCCCCCAGCCGCACGACTCAGCCTGACCTTTACTGACACTGATCCTCATCTCTGCATTAATCTCTTGTTTGCTTTTAGGTCAAATTCGGCAATACCACCTTCAAAACAGACGTGTATCTCAAATCCCTCAACCCGCAGTGGAACTCGGAGTGGTTTAAATTTGAGGTAAGTTTGGTTTTTTTAGTTTCTAAAGGGTCCCCTCTCCCCGCCCCGCTTTCTATTTATTTTTATTTATTTATTTTATTTTTGGGTCACACCCAGCGACGCACAGGGATTACTCCTGGCGGTGCTCGGGGGACCCTATGGGATGCTGGGAATCGAACCCGGGTCGGGCGCGTGCAAGGCAAACACCTTACCGGCTGTGCTATCTCTCCCTCCCCTGCCTTTTTAAAATTGAATCCTGTGCCTGCCTCCTTTCACTTCGCCAAGTGCTGCCAGGTGCGGCCAGGTTATAGCCGGCATCAGAATTTCTTCCTGACGGCTGTTGCACTGTGTGCACACACGTCCATCCTCTTCCCCGTTGCTTGCCTGTCTTCGTGCCCCTCGGCTCCGGCCTGGCCTTGGTCTGGCTGGCCCCGGTCTGGCGTCTGTGAAAGCCGCAGGGAGCGTTGGTGCCTGAGCTCTCACTTCTGCTGGGTAGAAGCCCAGAGGCGGAATCCCCAGGTCTCGGGGAGAAGTTTAGTTGCTGAGGAACCGCCAGGCTTGTCAGTGGCGGCTGTATGATTTCCCGTGCCACTGCTCTTGGGGGTGAGGGTATCAGTGTGTTCCTGCCCCCACTCCCTCTGCCAGTCGTTCCTGATGGAGTGAGACCACGGAGGGATCTTCAGAAGAACAGTTGATGTCAGGACGGAACTTCTTTGATTACATGTCCCGACAAAGCGGTAGTGGTAGAGTGACCAGCGACAGGTGGGGCTGAATGGACTGGCTCTCGCAGCCGTTGTTTTCACGTTTTGTTGAGGGAAAACTCAGACATGCACACAAATATATTAGCATATTGAACTCTCCGTCGTCAAATTTGTCTACGTTCTGCTGTTCTTGTTTCATTTATTACCTGGCCCCATTTTGAAATATTTCGGGGCAAAACCAAGATACTACCTGTTGGAGTACAAAGAGCTTAGGTTTATCTGGTTACACCCATCAATCTGGTTACACCCATCACAGTGCTCCTGAGGCACTTCCGTTGTGTTTATCTGTAAACAGTCTTCCCTATGCTCTCCTTCCCACCCAGTTAATCAGCTTTCCCCTTAATCAGACTGTTAATTTGTAAGATCAGTTTCCCAGAAATCTATGATTTTATATGTATGAGTGAAATATTGCCTTTTTCCTCTCCTTATGCCTTATGAACAGTTTACCTTAAAGTAATATCCTTTTTGTATAGATACAGAAAGACCGTTAACATTATGCTTTGTAACTTAGGATTTGATTGGCCTTGGATATTATTCACTCCCAGGCATCTGCTTTCTCGACTTAAGCCTCAGTTGCCCTGAGTTCCTCACACCCCAAAAGCAGGGTCCCGACGAGGGACCGAATGGACCCAGGGCAAGCGGTGAGCTACCCTGGCAGCGAAATGGGCCAGGCCAAAGTGCCACGATTCTTAACTATAAATTAAGAGTTTGATCATAGACAAATGCTGTCATGATCCAAAAGTAACGACGAGACTAGAATCCTGCTAGGGGTGGGAAAGACTATCTGGCCTGAGCACCGTAGTCTGAGATCGAGATGGCCCTAGGAGAGCAATTCTATAAGTTTAAGATATTTCTTACTGTATCCATACAAAATGATTTATATTATATTCTTATATGCTTGTCGAACAAGGAGAGGAGAGACACACCCTTGGGATTATGCTCTAGGGTGGGTCGTCCTGCTGAGAAAGGATCTGTCCTAGGAGCGGCCTTCCCAGAGGCTAAGAGTTCTACCCCTATTGATTGTGACCGCACCTATGTGTAATTGTTCCCCCAATTCCTCATGGAGAGAGGATTTAACTAGACTGTAGGAGTGGGCTGGATGTTCAGAAGGGATTAGAAGGAGATCAGAAGGAAGAAGCAGAGGGTCAGAAGGAAGAGAAGCAGGATGAAGGGGAATGGAGAAGGAGAATGAAGTGGCATGGGGGATGGAGAAGGGGGCAGAGACAGAGATGAAGAGAGAATCAGAATAAACTACGACTAATACCTACCAGCCTGGCCCTCGTTCCTTCCTCCGCCTGACCATCGCCATCAACCTCTCCGGGGTGGGAGAAGGGTGAGACTACCGAACGCGGGCGGCGGGAGAGATAGAGACACCGCCGCTGTGTGCCGTGCCCCCTTTTGTGTGAGTTTACACAACTACCTAGTTGCATGTGTATATTTTATTTATTTTTTTCTTTTTGGGTCACACCCGGCGATGCTCAGGGGTTCGTCCTGACTCTGCACTCAGGAATTACTCCTGGTGGATGCTCAGGGGACCCTATGGGATGCTGGGAATCGAACCCGGTTTGGCTGCGTGCAAGGCAAATGCCTTCCTAGCTGTGCTATCGCTGCAGCCCCACGTGTGGATATTTTAAATAATTGAGTTTTTCAGAGAAAAGAGGCCCTCTCCCGTTGACAGGGATTTTGCCAGTGGTCCTTGGGGGCCCCGGGACCATTCTTAGCCGCACTGGGCACAGCTAGTGTGGTTACATGCTGGGGATCAGACTCAAGTTTCTGGGCATGCAAGACGTGTGCTCCACCCCTCGAGCCATTTCCTGCTCTGTTTTGTTCTTGGTGGTGGGAGTCGAACCCAGGGCATCATAACATGTGGAGCATGTATACCACCTCTACGATTTCCTGGCCTGGATCTCTCTCAAAAGCAAACCAGCACATCTGTGATATTCACAATAATTCCTTCATGTATTTTGATTCTTAATCTTCAGAGGGTTGTTACTGTGTCTGGCATATCGAATACGTCACGGGGAGCTTGCCAGGCTCTGCCATGCGGGCGAGATACTCTCGGTAGCTTGCCGGGTTCTTCGAGAGGGGCGGAGGAATCGAACTCGGGTTGGCCATGTTGGCTGTGTGCAAGGCAAACACCCTACCGCTGTGCTATCGCTCCAGCCAGAGGGTAGCTTGCAGGCTCAGGATCATCCAGGAATTGAACAGGTGATGGAGTAAAGGAAGAATCTTTTATAATTTAAGTGTTAAGGATTTAAAGTTCTAATGATTGCGGAGATATTGTTTAGCCAGAGCATGTGCAAGAACACAAGCATGAAGGTACCGGCAGAGGAACAAAGGCATGCGGGTCTCGGGGCTGAGATCTCCAAGCCTGCTCGGATCGGGGCTGAGCATCCTCCACCCAGATCCTCCACCTTCCAGTAGGCAGGGTTCACACCCACTAACTGACCTCCCTGGCACTGTGTAATCCCATCAACGGCCAAGACCCAGGGACTATAAAACCCAGCTCCCGGAAGCGTGCGTGCAGCTGCATTTGTGGCCGTGCAACATCTTTTTTTTTTTTTTTTTTTTTTTTTTTATCTCATTCCTACTTTGGCCAAACTGGCAGGCTACTGAATGTAACCTGCCCACATGGCAGAGTCTGGCAAACTCCCCGTGACATGCCCAGTATGCCAAATACCAGTAACAATGATGGGTCTCATTCTCCTAACCTTGGAAGAGCCTTGAATATGGCACTTTTTTAAAAATCTCAGTTCTAGGACAAAGGAGACGTTACTGGGGCCTGCTTGAGGCAATCGAGAAACAACAGGATGATCGTGATCATGATATACAATAAAGAGATGGTGATTCAGCGAACCACGGATTTGCTGAACGCTCTTTCACGTTTACTATAGTGACAAACACTCATAGATTGTATTTGTTTTCTGTTTTTTTTTTTGGGGGGGGTTCTCCCAGGCTACCCCCAGTGGTGTCTGCGAGCCCACTAAAAGTCTATCTTAGGCATTTATATTCTGTATATAAATGACTGAATGTTAAGTGCCGGCAACCCCCCTCCGGAGCTCTGGCCTGGTGGCAACCAGGGCTTCATTGTATAGCTACTATAAATTAGTCCTTTATATTCTGCCCTGGTCTCTTACTGCAGTTTCTGACGGCGTGTTTTAGCCTTTCTTAGCTTTCTTAGCCTTTCTTAGCTTTCCTACCATGCAGACAAGTTCTCAGCATCATGAAGTGCGAGGATGCTTATCATAAACAAACTCCCGTCACTTCTCCCAGAGGGCAGCTAAGCAGTCTTCACCACGGGCTGCCTTGGGCTCCGGGTTTGGGTCAGCTGGCTGCTGGGCCGTCTTTCTGATTAAGTCCAGATGTGCACAACCTCCGAACCCACAGCTCTGTCAGAGATTGGATCACCCTGCGTGCGTAACATGCGCTAGAGGAGGCAAAACTGGATCGCTGTCCACAATCGTGCCCTTCTAGAGCGGAGGAGGAGGAACTGTCCGTAGCGCATCTCACGGGTACTGGGCCCCAGGGGGGGAGACGTCCACGCCCCGCCAGGCTCAGTGCCCGGGAACCCTCCCTGGCGGAGGCTTCAGCCCTGTTGCTCTCTGTCGTCAACAACGGTTGTGCTTGAGCGTCCGGCTCCCCGAGGACTGTTTGCTGTGGGCATTTTCCCTGCCCGCTTGGGGGTTTCCTGGTAACGTGGTTCTCAGACAACCACATCCTGGCGGAGCAGGTTAGAGACGGCCGTGCCACGGGATGCAGCGAGTGGCAGGAGTGAGCGTGCCGGCCCTTGTTCTTTCCGTGTTCTCTCCACCCCAGCTGCTGTGCCCGAGTCCTGCCGGTTGGCTCGGCCACCGTGTGCAGCCTGGGTGCCCGGTGTCTGCAACGGGGCCCCCGTCTTGCTGTGTCCAGTGGGGACAGAGAGACTGCGCGGGCTGCGCCCTCGGGACCTCATTACGTGCTGGCACCCCCTCTCCGGGGCTCTGGCCGGGTGGCAACCAGGGCTCCAGTGTATGACTTCAAGCGGGGAAGTCCTGCAGTGGCCTCCCTCCTTTCCCGCGTGATGCCTGCTTGAAGTTGTGTCACTAAGAGGCGCGGGGACCTAGCGTGGGTGGGTTTCATTTAGGAACCTAGATGGCAAGTACTGTGTCACTCTGACACGCCCGGTTTGCTTCTCGGAAATGGTCGTTGGAGGCTGCAGTATCCTCACACGCGCCTTCCTCTGGGGGAGTCTGCCGACTCCAGCGTGGTGTTTCCTTCGGAATTTTCTTTTTCTTTTTTTCTTTTTGGGTCCCACCCGGCGATGCACAGGAGTTCCTCCTGGCTCTGCACTCGGGAATTCCTCCTGGCGGTGCTCAGGGGACCATATGGGATGCTGGTACTCGAACCCGGGTTGGCGGCTTGCAAGGCAAACACCTTCCCCGATGTACTGTTGCTCCAGCCCCTCCTTCAGTTAGTTTTTGTTGGATGGAGTGGGAAGCGCAGGCTGATACGGAGAGAAAGACTTGGAATCTTCTTGCTGGCCAATCATCCTACCTTTGTGTTTGGTGGTGAACCATTCTTTTTTTTCTTTTTTTACTTTTTTAACTTATTTGGCATCTTGTATAGAAAATGGCAGTTTCTGGAGTTAGACGCTTTCCCGTTGTGCCTTACAAAAAGAAATTTCCTTCCTTTTGCCACCCTCGTTGTGGGTCCCCGGCGCCCACACGTGGGTTGGGGTGTGCTGGAGATCCCACTTTCCCTCGAAGCCCTGAGGCCAAAGAGGGAGTGGCATGGGGGGTGACTCCAGGGAGTGCCACCAGTCGCCTCGGTTTGGAAGGAAGCCCCTTGCTGTGCGCATTTCAGCGAGGGGTGGGGCACACCTAGTGATGCTCAGGGCTGTCCCCACACTGGGCTCAGGGTCGCTCCCGGGTGGTGTCAAGGGTCAGACTCGGCCCCCTGCAGGCCAGGCATGTGCTCCGGCCCTTTGGCTACCTCTGGGGCCCAAGCAGGGATTCTGTCCCTGAGCCGCCCCTGTCCAGGCTCCTCGCTCCGTGCCTGAAGACAAACCCTTAAGGTTTCTTTTTTCCTTAGAAAGAAGGATTTTTTTCCCTCTTAACCCTTGGAGCCCTGAAATGTCGGTGAGTGAAGATTCTTAAACTCTGAGGATTTCACCTGAGGGCTCCTTTCAGGTGGACGATGAGGATCTCCAGGACGAGCCCCTGCAGATCACGGTCCTGGACCATGACACCTACAGTGCCAATGATGCCATCGGCAAGGTGTACATCGACATCGACCCGCTGCTCTACAGCGAGGCCGCCACCGTCATCTCGGGCTGGTTCCCCATCTACGACACCATCCACGGTAAGGAAGCAGCGCCGGCCGCGGGGCTTCGTCCTCACGGACTCACTGGACCCGTCTCTGTGTTTAAAGCATCTTTTTTATAGCTGTGCAAGTGCCGTTAGTAGGACTCTCCTCTGAACACAGTGTAATGCTGAGTTTATGTTTTACGGTTACGTAAGTGCGTTGTTTAAAAGTCATCTGGTATCGTTATTCTTCCAGAATTTTTTCAGGTGGACAATATGGCTCTTTTTCTGCTTAAAAAAATTCTTCAGACGTTTTCTGTTGCCGGATGCAGAGTTCCCAAAGTGGTCTGGGCATTGGTGGCAGTCCTGAGATACTTTACTGTGTGGTCAGACTTGAGAACTGTTTCCAGCAGAATGCTTAAGCCCTTTGCTGTTTCTTTTATGTTCATTTTATTACTGTTGTTTTTTTAATAGGAGCCACACACATCATCTACCATTCTTACAACCACTTTTCCCCCAGGTGTACAATGGAGTTTTTTTTTTATGGGTTTTGTGATGTGCAGTGTTCGCACACACTGCATGCAGGGTGGAAATGAGAGCCACAGCTCTTTTTCCATTAAGCCAGATAGTAGAAGAGATTCAAAACTAAGTAATGTTATTTTTTCCTCCGAATAATTGTTTTTATAAAAGTGAATAGTTATTTAAGTGAAGTTTAAGGTAAAATTTTATAAATTTATAAATATTGGCAAATATTGACAGATTAGATATTATACAAATACATCTATAAATATGGCAAATATTGACAGATCTGACTCACACGAAGATTCTGAGCTCCTCCGTGGCTTTGTTTTTTGTCTCAGACCAAAGATGCTCAGGGCTTGCTCTGTGCTCAAGGACCACTTGGTGGGCTTCAGGGCACCGTAGGTGGTGCCAGAGATGGAACCAAACACCTGCCCTACCTGCTGTGTGATAGCTCTGGCCCCACTCCGCAGTGTTTTGGGGGGAGGGCAAGGTGGGGGCCACATCCGGTGGCACTCAGGGACCTTTCCTGGCTCTGCTCTGGAGTGATCCCCTGTGGTGCTCGGGGGAGCACGGTGCTGGGTCTTGGCTGTCACAGCCACATGCTGAGAATTAATCTGAACTCGATTGAAGTCATAGCTGTATGAATTTCCACATTGTATATTGTCTAAAGCTGGTTTATTATACGTCTAGCCCCCCTTTTTTGAGGAACGTAGACTTTTATTGTTTCGGTGAGTAAATGAGCAAATCATTCTTGACTGCCTTCCTCCATAGATTGTAATTTGGCATGAAGCCCGGGCAGTCAGTTGTACTGATTTTTTAATTTTGGAGCTATTGGTGGCAGTGCTCAGTGCTCCAGGCCTACTCCTGGCCCCGTGCTCAAGGATCACTCTCGGCAGTGCTGGGGAACCAGATGCGGTGTCAGGGATTGAACTGGGGCCATCCAAGTGCAAGGCGAGCGCCTTGATTCCTGTGCTGTCTCTGGCCCCTGGGCAGTCCGATAGGGATGGCATCCTTCCTATTTATGTGAGATGTTCTGAAAAATACTTTTTGACATTTCGTAGTTTTTTGGATTAATATTCATTGCAAAGGGTGAAACTTGATTTGTGTTAAATGAGGTTCTTAGCCCTTTAGAGCATTTTTTGAGTCCTGAAGATCTGGCTTTCAATCCTGCTCCTTTCATTTACTAGTAACGCCTTATACATTTTTTTAACCGTTATTTAAACTGCTGTTGCTTCCTCTGTAAAATGGGGGCAGGAATACCATACATCGAAGTTCTCTGGTTGATGTAAACATTTTGAGAGACGCTACATGAAACATTTAGAACATAACAGCTATTCACCAATGTCATTGTCATCTCCAGCATTATTGTTATTTAAGTAGCACTTCTCTCTAATTAGTCTTGCTTGAAATAAGTGAAGACTGTAGTAAAAATGAAAATTATTTATTGTTGGAGAGAGAGAGAGAGAGTACAGTGGGTAAGCCTGAATGTAGCCATATTTGGGTTTGATCCCTGAGCCCGCCAGGTGGGGCCCCTGAGCACAGAGCCAGGAGTCAATCCTAAGCATCACTGGGGGTGGCCCAGAACAAAAAAAAGCAAGAAGAAAAAAAAGGAAAAAGTTATTTATCTCAAATGTAGACTTGTTCTTCAGAAAGTGCATCAAGAAGCGACTTAGAATTGAAAAACTAGAAAACAAAGTTAGTATTGCTGTTAAACCATTGACATTTATTTGCTTGATTATTTAGGTTTTTTTTTTTTTTAACATAGCGCCTTGATTTTCCTTTTGGAATTCTAGGTATCCGTGGGGAAATCAATGTGGTTGTTAAAGTCGACCTCTTCAATGACTTAAATCGATTTCGGCAGTCGTCCTGCGGAGTCAAATTCTTTTGCAGTAAGTGAAACATATTTCATTACTCGTTTTTTAAAACAGGAAATGTAATCCTTTCTTAAATCTGGGAAATCGAATTAATATTTCAGAGGGCTAATGGAAGAAACCAATTGTACTGTGGTTTTAATGCCGAGGAGAAAAGTGTTTCAGAAACAGTCGCGCCACCTCCGGGGACTCTCTGCTTGCTTTTGAAGTAAAAGATCTCTCATTTCGTAGAAGCCCAGAGACAGATGGCTCAAAGAAAGCCAGTGGCTCAGTAGTCATTGGAAGAGGCCCCTGGCCTGGCCCCAGGAGTCGGGGGCGGCGGGGAGGGGGGAGTGTGGGCAGCGCCCCTACAGCCTTGGCCGGAACCCTGTCAGCTGGCAGCGGCCCCTGGATGCTGGGAGAAGCAGGACCATGGAGGCTGCTGGCCTCTTTCCCAGATCGAGGGGAAGCTCCATCTGCTCCTGCAAACAGCCTCCCTCGCTGAGATGCCACGCGTGTGCCTGAGCCCGAGCCTGGAGCACTTCCTGCTCCATCCCATACCCCGGCAGCCCCAGGGCTGTCCGGAGAGAGGCGGCGATCAGGGCAGGTTTTCCGTGCTGGGATGGGCAGACCAGCTCCTCCCCGAAGTACCACGTCTCTGGATGCTCTGGGAACGCCGGCCCAGACTCTCCCGCACCCAGCCCCCAGCGCGTCCTGGGCTGTGTGTGACCGGGGTGAGCCCATGTCCACCCAGGCCACTTGGGGTAAGAAAAACCACTTCCCCTGGAAGCACGTCCCGAAGCTGTGGCCCCACGCAGGTGCCCGCTGTCCCGAACCCTGGCCTTGGGCCATCCTCATGTCCGTCCGTCATCCGAGGCACCAAGCCCTTGCGGGCTTGACAGGAGAGGAAAGCAGTTGTCACTCTCTCTAGTATCTCCGAATCGGAGTCGGTGAGCCCCTGCCCCACGCATCCCGCTGGGATTCACACAGACCATGGGATCCTGTCGGACACAGGCATGGCCATTCGTGACGGATGCACGTGCGGGTCTTGCCAAAGGCCCAGTGGCCTTAGAAGTTACTGTCGGACACTCATCTGACAAGCCTACAGCCGTTCAGCTAGAGCAGGTTTAATTTTGCACATCGGGAATTAGAAGGCCTGGAAGAGAAGTTCTGAAGTAATTTCACATCATTATTTACTACTTATTAAAGGTTGATTTTTTTTCCTGTTAATTTTTTTTTTCATAAATTAGAACATTACACACTGTGTAATTATACTCTGTCCAAAAAAACACAGAGAGAGGTAGACGGGGGAGAAGGAAATGAAGAACCCAGGGTCAGGGATGTAGCTCAGTAATAAGCGCGCCCTGTGTTCGATTCCCAGCACCCACAAACAAACAACAACAAAATAAGGGAGATAAACATTTAAAATAAAGTTAAAGAGGATAAAGAATTGTTTCCTTACTCCAGTGGCAATGGGTCCTGTGAGCAGGGTGCAGAGCCGTGGGTGCAGGCGTGGGGTGGCCTCGGGAGTGACACAAGCTCTTGCCGGCAGCAGGCCACTTCCCTGGGTGTGGGTCAGGACTGGACATGGCTGGGCGTTCTGCAGCCAGCCTGGATTAATAGGCCGGGAAACTCTCAAGTACCGACTTAGCGGCAATACTCCAGTATCTAGCTTAAGAGACTTACACCTGGTGTTCTCTGGTCCTCTGCTTTAAGTCCGGTGACATTTGCTGTTGCACGTCTGGGTCTGATGAACATCCAGTGACGATGCCACCACTTGGCCTCTGGCTGGGGAGCAGCAGAGGACCCCGAACTCCTCTGCCCGTGGTTGGGTTTCCAGAGCTGCCGTCTGTGATGTACTATTATTTTCTTCTTTAAAAAGCAAACCGTTACTAACTTCTTTAAAAAACAAACGAACAAAAACCAAACTTTGTAATGCTATTGTCTATAAAAAAAAAATTCATATACTTGAGAAAGATGCAGGATCTCACAGAAGAAATGGATTGTTTTGTCTGTATTAATTTATTGACGTTACATTGGTTTGCAAGAACATAAGTGGTGTAAAGAAGTGTTTCAGGGGGTAATGCTGTTGCTTCTCCAGAGGCTAGTGTCCCTCCACCATCATTGGTGGCACCGTCACCTTCCCCTCTCCTGCCTCCGCGGCCTCATTTTCTGGTCAGTCTGAGGGTTTGTTTGCACTACGCCTTTCCTGTCCCTGGTCTGCTTCTTCTCCCTCTTGCCTGTGACCAGTTACTTGTTGCCCGTTCTGTCCCGTCTAGCATAACCCCCTCCATTTTAGTCAGTGTCGTTGCAGACAGTAAGGCCGCGTCTTTCTTCCAGCCCCTTAGCGGCCTTGTGTGTGTGTGTTTGTGTGTGTGTGTGTGTGTGTGTGTGTGTGTGTGTGTGTGTGTGTGTAGACCCGAATGTCCTCGTCCACTCATCTGCCCTTGGACGTGGCTTGCTGTCAGTGGTGCTAAAGCGAACAGAGTCATCTGTGTTTCTTTGTGGATGAGTGTTTTTACGATGATTACATAGGCGAGGAGCAGAAGGGTCAGAGAGGAGCTAGATTCACCGTGAGATGCAGTTACAAGCTTTAACGTTTGCGTTTCAGTCATACAATGATCCAACACCCTCCTTCCACCAGTGCACAGTCCCCACCACCAATCTCTCCGATATACTCCCCTTTCCAACCCTCCTCCTGCCTCCATGGCAGAATATTTCCTCCATACTCTCCCAACTTTTGGGCAAGTGGAAACAAACGTAAACAAATGGAACCACATCAAACTAAGGAGCTTCTGCCCCTCAAAAGAAACAGTGACCAAAATACAGAGAGAGCCCACAGAATGGGAAAGAATATTTACCCAGTACCCACCTGATGGGACTGGAGCGATATAGCACAGCGGATAGGGCGTTTGCCTTGCATGAGCCTGACTTGACCAACCAGGGTTTGATTCCTCCACCCCTCTTGGAGAGCCCGGCAAGCTACCGAGAGTCTCTCACCCATACGGCAAAGCCTGGCAAACTCTTCATGACGTATTTGATATGCCAAACACCGTAACAAGTTTCACAATGGAGACGTTACTGGGCCCGCTCGAGTAAATAGATGAACAACGGGAGGACGGTGCTGCAGTGCTATCCAATCTGATAAGGAATTGATATCCAGGATGTACAGGACACAAGTGGATAAATCTGTTTTTGATTTTTTTGTTTTTGAGGACTCTCATTCCTTTCTTCATAGAAACAGAACCAGTTTACATTCCCACCAGCAGTGGGGGCCGGGTGGAATTTGGGGTCACACCTCGTGTGTGCAGGGCCTCTCTCTTAGGTCACCGCCTGCCTCTGTGCTCAGGAGGGACCCCTGGCAATGCTGGGGGCGCATCTGCCATGCTACGGGGTGAGCCAGAGTCAGCTGCATGCGTGGCAAGCGCCCGGCCCTTCTAGACTGTTATCCAGCCCCGAATGGGGATTTCCTTTTTCTCCACATCTCTCTCTGCCAGCACCTGCTTCTGGCAATTTTGCTACTGGGCCTTTTCACGATGACTTTCTGTTATTTTACTCTGCAAGAAATCGATTACTTCTAAGAATAAAGTGGCTCTTAGAAGGCTGATTGGAAATGTTATTATTATAGTCGCTTAGAGATGATCAGAGCAAAAAGTCTTTGTATTATGCATATCCAAGAGGAAAGAACTTAGTTTGATAGTTAAGGAATAATCGAATCTAGCGCGTGACCAATAGAAGTTTGACCAGAACTTTCTCTTTGCAGCTACGTCTATTCCCAAGTGCTACCGGGCCGTGATGATTCACGGGTTTGTGGAAGAGCTCGTGGTCAACGAAGACCCCGAGTATCAGTGGATCGACCGGATTCGCACCCCGCGGGCATCCAACGAGGCCAGGCAGAGGCTCATTTCTTTAATGTCAGGTATTTTGAACAACGAACGAAGCTTCGTCCCTGACTGATTCAACACTCCAGTTGTCCACTTCTTTCTGTTATGCTGTCTAAAGATTATGATGTACAGATATCTCCCTACCCCTGGCTTGGCTTCTGAATCCATGCATTTCCGTCTAATACCTTTTTTTTTAATCTGGCTTTTGGGGCCACCCCCATCAGTCCTCCGTGATTACTCCTGACTCTGTGCTCAGGAACCACTCTGGCAGTGCTCAGGGGACTGACTGTCCAGGGCGCTGGGGATTGAACCCAGTCGGCTGCAGCTGCCTCGCCTGCTGCGCGACTGCTCTGCTTCCATCTTAATACTTCTAAGATCACCTTTTATAGCTTTGGGGATTTTTTCCTTGTTTCTGGGTCACTCCCGGTGGTGCTCTGGCGTCACGTGTGGTAGTGCTCAGGAGCTGAGCTCGGGACGGTCACAGCTGCAGGTCAGGCAGTGCCACACTCGGGGCTGTTTCTCCAGCCTCCGTCCAGATCCTATAGTCCCGTCATAGCCGGGCTGTCAGGAAAGTTTGGCTCATGGGGAGAGGCAGGAGCTGGTTTCTAATTTTCTTCCCTCCAGCATTTATTTCTAGTCTGATTTCAGGTAATATCTCTGATTTTTTGTTCAAAGATTGTTTTCAGTTTTCCTTTAACCACTTGTTATTTTTTATTTCTTTGAAGAACCTGTTTATCACCTAAGCAGTTTATCTGTGTGTATAGATGTCTTGATCTATATAAGAAAATAAGAATACATATAGTTACATATAATAATCTTTTTTTTGGGGGGGGGCACACCTGGCCGTGCTCCAGGCTTACTCTTGGCTCTGTGCTTGGCTGTTATCTGGCGAGTCTTGGGGGACCATTTGGGGTACCAGGAATCAAACTTGAGTCAGCCATGTGCGACATAAATGGCCTACCTGCTGTGCCTTCTCTCTGACCCCCAAATGTTTATTTGCAAAAAATTTATATACGTAAAAAGATAAAAATGTGCTTAATATGTTATTTAGTGTGAGTGATGGAATTGTCTTATATGTAAATGAATATAATGTTGCTCTATTACTTGGTATAAGTCAGTATTGTAGGTACCATAGAGTTTCTCTATTCATATACAGCGCTCCATCTAGGCAACACTTTTTCTTCAGCATCCGTTATTTTTGGTGGTTGGTCTGGGGGGCATAGCTCCTTGCCTGGTGCTCTCGGGACCATCCCAGCCGTACTCAGGGGACCCTGCAGTGGTGGAGATCAGACCAGGGTTCCTGCCTGCAAAGCCCGTTGACGTGGCCCCAACCCTGTAATATTCACTTTTTTTTTTTTGCTTTTTTTTGGGGGGGGTTCACACCCGGCGATGCACAGGAGTTACTCCTGGTTCATGCACTCAGGAATCACTCTTGGTGGTGCTCAGGTGACCATATGGGATGCTCAGAATCCAACCTGGGTCAGCTGCATGCAAGGCAAATGCCCTACCCGCTGTGCTATTGCTCCAGCCCCTGTAATATTTACTTTTTAAATCCATTTCTCCACCATCCTGGCAACTGCACTAGACTGGGACTTTATTTTCTGTGTTCACTGCTGTATGTCTAGCACTTAGAACAAACGGGGAGTGCCAGGCACACAGTACGCAGTCTATCTATGTGTATAGATGTCTTGATCTATATACCTTATTTTCTTATATAGATCCAGACATCTATACACATTGATACACTGTTCAGCAAATGAATGACAAATGAATGATCCTTCCTTGCACCTCTGTAAAATGCAGTTACTCAGCGGCTTCCTCGGAGTAGAAGGCTGTAGCACTGCACTGCACTGTCCTCCCGTTGTTCATCGATTTGCTCAAGTGGGCCCAGTAACGACTCCATCGTGAGACTTGTTGTTACTGTGTTTGGCACATCAAACACATCACGGGTAGCTTGCCAGGCTTTGCCGTGCGGGTGAGATACTCTCAGGAGCTTGCCAGGAGTAGAAGGCTAGACCAGAAAATCTCTTTGGTTCTTTTCAAACCTGAGAATCGATATATTTTGTTTGTTTGTTTTGAGAGGGGTCCCCTCTGTTGCTATGATACCGTGCCCGAGGATGAAGCAGGACATATTTCTTTCCCTTTGTAGGTGAACTGCAGAGGAAGATTGGCCTGAAAGTGCTGGAAATGAGAGGAAATGCGGTTGTCGGGTATTTGCAGTGCTTTGATCTGGAAGGCGAATCCGGGTTAGTGGTACGCGCCATAGGCACAGCCTGCACGCTGGATAAACTCAGTAGCCCCGCATTCCTTCCCGCGTGCAGTTCCCCATCCAAAGACATGAAGGAGTAAGTATGAGTCAGTGGATTGTTTTCATGGCACCTGTTACCTTTCACTTCCTCATTTTCATTTTATTTCGAACATTTTAGTAGAGATGTTCACATTGAGCTCTTTTCTATGCCAGTTTCCTTACTAGGGATGACTACCACAATTTGAAGCTCAAAACTCTTTAGTTATTCCTAATATTTTATTCCTACGGTCTCAAAATGACGTTTAAGCTGTGCAAAATCAAACTTACTCTAGATTTTTAGACAGTGTGTATCTGAGGCATGAAATTACTGTTGGTCATAGAGAGGTTTGCCTCCTGTCTGGGGGCCCTTAAGTCCCTGTAGCCCATAGTCCAGTTACACTCACTTTCCGCATCCTGGAAAGGTTGACAGTCTTGTGGGTTCAACCTCCAGTGCCGGCTGAGGCCAAGAAGTGTATGTGAATCACTGTGTGCAAAAGGAAATAGCCAGGATCGTGTAAACTGGACATTGGCAAACTTTCTCAAAAGCCAAATAGTAACTCTTTAGGCACTTGCTATGTAGCTTCTTATTTTTTTCTTTGTTGGCCAAACACATAGGAACTTGCTGTTTCTGATCTAAAGGACTGAAAAAACCTTCCTCTTGCCTGGATTTGACTTCTGTGGCATCCTTCGCATGTCTGTAGGAGATGTTAGAAATGACATTTTTTGTTGGTGGTGGTGGTGGAGAGTGACCCCTCTCTCTTGTTGGGGTCTAGACCGACTGACCGAGACAATCAGAGCTAGTCAGAACTGCAAGGACTCATTCCGTCCTAAAAGGCATCTCACGGGAGCCTTTAATCTAGAAGTTCTTTTGCATTAAAGGACCGATGGATTTTAAATGACCAGAAGGTTGAGGTCAGTAATTTTGCAGGCAACACAGACGCATCCATGGATGCAACTAATGAGTGTTGCACGTGTTCAAATAGAACTCGGGCCTCTCCCAAAACGGGTTCATCCTGCCCCCTCGCTCCAGCCCGGCTGACCTGTGGCTCTCCGGTCTTTGCTGTAGCAAGATAGCGGGTAGTCAGAATTCTGTTCCTCAGAGATTTGAAAATGCTTCCCAGCTTCGTAGTGGCCAAAGGAGACTTAAGTTAGACCGAGACTGGCGAGCTCTAGAAAGTTTCCTCTTTAAAGGTTTATTGTCTTTTTTTTTTTTTAACAAAAAAAAGTCCATAAATCTTTCTTATGGTCTCCAGTTAATTTTGATCACAAGAAGAAGCATTGCTTAATTTTTTTTTTTAGGAAGCGTTTTAAATAGTGATTTGCTTATATTCCATTTAAAGTCTCTTTTCAGTTGTTACTTGTTTGGGGGCCACACCCTGTGGTGCTCAGGGGTCACTACCGGGGAGCTCGGGGACCGTTTGGGATGCCGGGGATTGAACCTGGGTCGGCCACGTGCTGCAAGGCAGACGCCCTCCCCACTGTGCTATCTCTCTGGCCCCTCAGGTAGCTAAGATATTAGGTGCATATTGCTGCACAGGTGAAGTCGAGGTGGTAGGAGTCACTTTTTGGGGGATTCGGACTTATTTTTCCTCTTTCCATAGCAAGTTGAAGTGAAGGTCAGGTCCCTCTTCTTCTTCCCAGCCCTATCCGTGCTGTCTCTCAGGGCCTGGGTTTTGCGTCTGTGTTGTTTGAAGTTTTTTCTGTTTTCACTAAATTACTTGATGGAGAAAGAAAACGGAATTACCTGTTGGTGTCTTAGAATTGTGTGTGGAGAGTAGGGAGTACGTTTTGCCTGCCTCCAGGAGCAGCTCATTCTGTTAATGCAGAGTCTTTGTGACTGTACATCTCTTCCTCTTCTGTTTTGGTTGTAGCCATTTGTTTTCAGTATTCAAGTATTCACGCCACGAAGAATTTAATTTGCCTCATTAATATTTTCTGAAATATTAATGGCGGCTTGTCAAGTGATTAAAAATAACCAAACAAATGAAACCGTAGACGGATTCTTTTCAACCAGGTTCTTTGGATTTGTTGATAATGAATCAATCCGAAGACTAGTTTTAAAATTAGCTTCTGATTCAGCTGATTATAATTGTTCTAGTATTTAATTATAGTATTGTTGATTCTGGATGGGAATTTGATGAAAGGTAGTTTGGATTATGTTTCTGTCTGAGTGGATTTAATTTTAGAAATGCCATTATGTTTAGTAAGGCAACCTTTTTATTCAAGGAGACTGGTAAGAATTAGAACTTCAAGAATGTGTTATGGTTATCATTTAGTATATTTGGATTTTAAATGGAACATTTTGCAATGTTCATTTTATTTTGATTTTGTGAATGGTTTATTCTCTTTCGTCAGTTTGATTTCCCCGCCCCCCACCTTTAGATGTTTAATGCAATATACAATATAAATCTCTGCTGTTGGCTAACTAAACTACCTTGATGGTAGAAGTGCATATGAGTATGATTTATTGTTTTTCTACTTACAAAATCAAGGACTTCTAAAGAGAGTTTAGCTCCTATTTCTCCATGTGACACTGATTTTTAAGATATTAAAATCTGTTAGTGACTATAACAAAGAAAAAACAAGCAGAATCTTAGTTGTTTGTATAAAAATTGGACCCAAAAAACAAACAAACCCGAAAAACAAAACACACTCCTAAATGAGATTTTTTTTTTTTAATAATAAAGGACATTTTAAATTTTAACTAGTGGAAGATAGTGACATAGAACGCCCTGGAGTGCATGGCTGCATTTGCGGCAGCGTGACCTCTTTTCAGTCTCTGATGGGTTTAACATACATGCTTGTGATCTCTTATACAAGGGCTTAGATGGCTCCAGGCTGAAACACAGCAATCTTCGCATACCTTCCTCTTATGGTGATGGGAAGGTGCATGGTGGTGGGATTGGTGTTTGAATATTAACTGTAATGAACTATTTGAACAACTTTATAAAAATAAAATAAAAATAAATTTACACTAGCAGCAAAAGTAGAAATAGTAGCCCAGTTATAAAAGTAGCAATAATTTAAGAAATTAGTCTCTAAACTACTAAAGATAATTATTACCAAGAAATAATAGCTCATATCTTAGTCTTGGAAATTGCAGTTTTTGGAGGAACGTCCACTGGGTGATAGGAAGGCCAGGAAAAGTTGGGTTCTTAGCCTGCTTGTAATTTGAATTCTGAAATTGGGATCCGGCAGCTTTTAATACACGAGTGTTTCCCTAGATTGTCTGCACAAGAAAAGGCAGCACATAGTGAGGGAAGAGGCGATACCGAATCCCGCGCGCTGGTTACCTTCCTTGCTCCCCTTCCTGTGTAACTGCCCTTTTAACTGAGTCTCTTTCCGGAGACGTTCAGTGTGACGCAGGAGTGTGTCCGCCCCTGCCGCTACAGCTACAGCCGAGCACGTGTTGAGCTGTGGTCGGTCACGGACAGAAGTTTAGATCGCAACACATATTCAGAATGTGCTTTAATAAATTCTGCTGAAGTTGCAGTTGCCTCTGAATTAGGGACAGACAGAAATCCTTTACATCGGCTTATTGAATTTTTTTGTGGGTGGGTGGGTGGGTGGGTGGTTCCCAGGCGGTGCTCAGGGGCTGTGGGGGCCCACGGAGGTGGGTCGGGCAGACCCTAAGCCCTGCTTTTGCTCAGCAGAGCTGAGGAGCACCAGGCCTGGCAGTGCCGGCAGCTGGGCAGGCGTGTGGCGCCGGGCATCAGACACGAGGCCTTGCCCACGTGTGGCCTCGACCATCGCTTCGGTGCCCGCGAAGCGGATTTTAAAAGCCGTCACCCTCGCTGTGTGCCCGGCGTGACCCGGGTTCAAGCTCGGTGTCGGTGCTGAGATCCCGTTAGGCTTCTCTCTGCGTCTGCCCGCTCCCCGTGCTCATCCCGGTGTGGTGCTCCCCTCCACACTCCTAAGGCTTTTCTGTCTGGAGGTTCGAGACGGACGCAGCCCCGGGAGAACTTCCGAGAGAAAGTGACATGGTGTCAGCCCCTGTTCCTCTCTCCGCCTCAGGGGTAAACATAGAGGTCCCCGTAAGGGCTGGAGCGTCATTTCTGTGGGCGTTTTCTCCCCCAGAGCCAGTATGGTAGTGACGTCAGAGCGGGCGTTTGGAAGCAACGGAAGATCCGAAGCTTAAGTTTTATCACACAGCCCCACTGACCGTTCTGCTTGCCGCTTTTTTGCTTTTTGGCACTCACGTTATTAACCGGATCCTTTAAGCTAGAGCTCACCGTTAATACTTAGCTTCTCAGCTCCCACTTGGTTTCTGCATGCGGGGGGATTCGGGGAGAATCCCCCTCCCCTCTCCTCCGCTCCCCCCGGAATACGTGTAACTTGCCTTTTTGCTGTCTGTTGTATGCATTGTTCTCTTCTCTCCCGCTGTGACCACCGCACGTTCCCCCAGGTCTCCGCTGGTCCACCCTCCAAGCCATGGATGCCGCTCGACTCACAACAGCCCAATTCACACTGCTACTGGCTCCCGACTTACTCAGAACTTCTCTGTGTCTGTTCCCACTCTCATCTACACGGGTACGAGACCGCTCAGACCGCCGAGCTGGGGTCGGCAGGCCAGGGGGGCAGGCAGGCAGGGAGCCAGGTACCCGGGGCTGCGCGTCCTCCTTTTCTCGCTCCCAGGGCAGCCGCAGGAAGGACCGTCTGCAGCCGCCCCCCCAGGCGCGGGCTCCTCGGAGGCCAGGGTGGTCTCCCGGCTTCCAGGGTCTCTTCCATAGATCTCCGGGCACCCTGGCCACGTACATGCGTCTCGGGCAGCCGTTTCTGTCTCGGGCTGGAAGGAAAACCGCGGGTTGGGTTGGAGACGAACCCTCTGCCCAAGCTGCCCGTTGGCTTTATTTTCTCCATGTACAAAACTTGTTTCGTACGTTGGGTTTGTTTTCTATGGAAGAGACCTCTTGGAAAACAGGTAAGCAATGATTCTGCAAAAAAACAAAAAACAAACCAACCCTGCCATGTTTCTCTGTAGCTGTGTTCCCGCCCTCCGGTGTGTTTTTAGCTGTTGATGCTATAGGATAAGGAAACAGATTTCTTTTGAAGATAACCGTGTGTGCAAATATGAAAACACTTAACGGAATATTTACACACACACCATTTGCAGTCATCTTTTTTTTTTTTAACTTTTGGAACTTTAAAAAAAAAGCATTGTTTATTTGAAAATATTTTCAGTTCATGTATTTCTTCTTTTTATTTCTCCCTTTAATATATTTTTTTACCCCCCCCAAGTCTGTCATTTCACGCTTTTTTGCATTTTTCCTTGGCTTATTAACTGTTTCGATGCAGATAATTATTTATCTGGAGAGTGATGAATGGTTAGACGGCCGTCGGTTCTCTTGGACCTCATTCCCGAACCCACCTGTAAGGAACGGCCGCAGGCCCACCCCAGCCCTGGCCTGGTCAGCGTTCGGATCATGCTGCCTGCCCCTCCTCCGTCAGGGTCCTGGCGCATGATGACTTAATATTTCTCCACCTTCTTCTGGCAGGCTTCCCTTCAATGAAGATCCCAATCCCAATACTCACTCATCAGGACCCTCCACCCCTCTGAAAAACCAAACTTATTCCTTTTCACCTTCCAAGTCCTACAGTCGACAGTCCTCTTCTTCTGACACAGATTTGAGTTTGACACCCAAGACTGGTAAGGTGCCTCCGCCCACTTTGATTTCCTTCTCGTTTTTCGTTTGATTTGGTTTTGTTTTTAGATTTTGTTTCTGTTTCTGACTAGCTTTCCATCCGAGCCTTTCTTCCTTTTGGCATTTAAGTGTAAAAAGAGAATGTGTGAACGCGGTTCCTTTTTAGTTCCTGCAGCGAAAATATTGACATTTTGCGTACTTTGAAAAGTGTCTGACTTGGGGAGACTTACCCTGAGTCACAGTCAGGGCTCTGAGGCCCAGGGTTTAATTTTGCATGGAGATATTTTTCATTTTATGCGCAAAGTAAGAGGAACCATGTCTCTAAGCATGTCTCTCATGGACGGGAGGTGACAGTAGCAGCTTGTAATTAGTTATTTTTTTGATTCAATGTTTTCCGTAAATTCTGAATTTAACGACAAGATTTCATTATAAAAGAAAACGCCTTAGAATAACTCTGAAATGGTTAGACCTAGCTATGCTTTCATTCATTTCTTATAAAAGAGACATTTGGTTTTGCTGGCCTTACTTTCCAGGTTACAGATAGCGTTTTTCATTTATTTTTACATATTTCAGTGTCTTAAAGTTCCTGCTTTCCGCAGCACCCCGTGGTCTCCTGAGCACCGTCAGCAGTGACCCCCCAGAGGGTCAAGAGCAGCTCCTGAGCTCAGCCAGGGGCGGTCCCTAAATTTAATAAAACAAACAAAACGAATGGCCATTTTTTTTCCCTTTCCTGCTTGTATTTTGATGATCTTCCTGAGTGTTTACCGTCAAAAGTGGATAGGAAATCAAATTAGTTTCATACTCATTGAACCAAAATGACTTTATTGACATGTCAGTTATGTTTTGGGGTTCCTTGTTTTTGTGATGCCAGTGACTGACACCAGAAACGTGTAAGGCCTGTGTGCTCTACCCTGAGCGCCCCTTGCCCCAAAATGGTGATGATGATGATGGTGGCTTTTCTGGATTTGGGGCCACACGCAGTGATGCTCATGGACTGTTCCTGGCATGGAATCGCATCCAGTGGTGCTCAGGGAAGCAGGAGGTACTGAGGAGTCAACCCAGGCCTCCCGCTGCAAAGCCTGTGCGTGCCCTTTTGAGCTAGCTCCCCAGGTGGCTAGGTGATTTTTTTTTTCTTTTCTTTTTGGATCACGCCCGGCAATGCACAGGGTTTATTCCTGGCTCTGCACTCAGGAATTACTCCTGGCAGTGCTCAGGGGACCACATGGGATGCTGGGAAACGAACCCCCATTGGTCTCATACAAGGCAAACGCCCTATCTGCTGTGCTATCGCTCCAGCCCCCTAGATGATTGTTTTGTTGTTTTTTTTTTTTTGCTTTTTGGGTCACACCTGGCGATGCACGGGGGTTACTCCTGGCTCTGCACTCAGGAGTTACTCCTGGCGGTGCTCAGGGGACCATATGGGATTCTGGGAATTGAACCCAGGTTGGCCGCGTGCAAGGCAAATGCCCTACCCGCTGTGCTATCTCTCCAGCCCCCTAGATGATTGTTTTTAAGGGAAAAATATACATAAAGTTAACAGCAAGTAGTCTGCAATTTATGTAAATACTTTTTCTTTTTTTTGGCCCAGCGGAATACCAGCCAGATTGATGAGGGCATTTTTTTTTTTTTTAGTTCATGTTTGTGTTGCTTAAAATTTAAGATTTACTATTTTTTTTAACTTTATGAAGGGTATAAACTGACTCCAGATTTTATGACATCAGTGAAACAGTAATGAAAAAGAAATCTGATTTCCAAAACAATGCTAGTTCTAAAGAAAGGACCTTCCCTCGGGTGGGGTGGGGACCACACCTGGTGGTGGTGGTCAGGGCTTACCCCTGGCTCAGCGCTCAGGGACCACTCCGGGCAGTGCTGGGGATGAGCCCAGCTCGGCTATGTGCCAGGCAAACTCCTACCCGTTGTACACTGGCTTTGGACCAGGAAGAACTTTTATTTTTTTGAAAACCTGTATTGTTTTCTATCTAATTAAAATTAGTAAGTGTAGTCGCAAAACTTAAAGATGTATAAAAAATACATTTTTGAAAGACTAGCTATTTATACATACGAAATTATGAACGGCATCTAAGAATAGTTTGATTTTGATAGCAGTTGACCTTTAGGAATGTGGCAGGAAACGGCCATTCAAACTGTTTTTTGTTTTGTTTTATAAAATAAATGAGATTCTGGAATTGAAATGTCTAACAATCAAAATAGGACTTAGTATTTAAGTATTAAATATTAAATTTAAAAATTCAAGCATTTTTTATTAAAAAATTAGTATTTAAAAAATAAAAGGTTTTTTTGTGTGGGTTTTTTTTTGTGGGGGGGGGTGGCTGTTTTGGGACCATCTTTGTTACTCATGGCTCTGTGCTCAGGGGTCATTCCTGGCTGTGCTCAGGGATCTGTGTGGTGCCTGGGATCAAATCTAGGTTGACCACATGCAAGGCAAGTGCCTTAATCTTTGTACTCTCTCTCTGGCCCTGAAGAATAAAGTTTCTAAAAAAAGTTTTGAAACTTTGCCCGTTGATCTTTTTTTTCAAATTGTTTTCAAAATTTTTAGTTTTTTTGCCATGCCACAAATACATTGGGGTTTTTTTTTGTTTCGTTTTGTTTTGTTTTTTCTTTTTGGGTTACACCCGGCAATACACAGGCGTTACTCCTGGCTTTGCACTCAGGAATTACTTACTCCTGGCGGTGTTCAGAGGACCCTATGGGATGCTGGGAATCGAACCTGGGTTGGCTGCGTGCAAGGCAAACGCCCTAGACGCTGTGTTATCACTCCAACCCCACAAATACATTTTTGAAAGTATTTTCTTGGTCTGTTTGTTTTCCTTCAGTTCATTATGCAGGCCACATAAATCTCCAGAAAATTGTCATGTGACACATGACTGCAGACCCCCATCCCTTGGCCCCTAGTAGCAGTCAGTACTGCGTTCTCAGTGAAAATTCTATTTCCTAGCTCCAAATTTTTAGTTTGAAAATTATCATTTACAATAGGTATGATTTTCACATATTTCTGGATTTCTCAGCTTCCCCTCAGTGACATTGTTTACTGGATAATTCTTTGCCTTAATTAATAGCATATTTATAGGACATAAACAGTGCTTAGTACTTCTGCCCTTTCTCTTGGGTCTCTAAATCTAAATATCTTCAGGCTCTCAAGAGGAGTGTTTCTTCCTACATTTTGTGGAGATTTAAAATGGCAAAGTTATGATGGCTCTATAATTCCTAAAGCCATGGTTACACATTGAAAAAAAAAAACCACATTTTTTTTGGTCTCTGTTTCACCTATATACAGAATCAGTCTGAGAAGCAGAATAAATGTGCCGATGATAATGAAAATGATCAGAGTAGGGAGCCAAAGCTAGAAGCTCTCCATCGAGCTTTTTCTCTTTGTAGTAAACTCCTCCTCCTGCTTTTCAGAGAGGACTTATTTTTAAAAAAAGTTTGTTTCTGTAGGATCTAGTTTTGGACACAAGGCTCTATTTTCTTCTTTTCTCACCCGCATTCAAGTAATGGCAGGGGAATTTTAGAATGCTAATGTTTAGGATTTGGATTTCATAGGAAATTGAAGTTGACTTTCACTTAAACATATTTTTGGCCCCCCAAGTACTGTGCGGGGGGCCCTTGTTGCTGAGGTTGAACTTGGAGTCCATGGAGAGCCACTTTCCAGACCCTTCGACCCAACAGCCCATACAAGGATCAGCCAGACAGAAGTTAATGGGTTTTTTTGGTTGTTTTTTTCTGTTTTTTGGGTTTTTTTTTTGTTTTTTTGGATCACACCTGGCAATGCACAGGGGTTACTCCCGGCTTTGCACTCATGAATTACTCCTGGTGGTGCTTGGGGACCATATGGGATGCTGGGAATCGAACCCTGGGTCGGCCGCATGCAAGGCAAATGCCCTACCCGCTGTGCTATCACTCCAGCACAGAAGTCAATGTTTTATTTGGAATTAATAACGGCATCTCTGCTCCGAAGTTCTCTCTCTCTCTTTTTTTTAATAAAATGATATGCAATTATAATGCATTTGTAGTTACTGTTCTTGGCCACTCAGTGTTTATTTTTGAGGCAGTCCATTTCTGGCATGAGGGATTTATTTTTTTTATAATTTCTTTTTTCAAGCATAATCATTTTTTTTTCAATATTGATTTTTATTTATTTATTTACTTATTTTTGCTTTTTGGATCACACCTGGCGATGCACAGGGATTACTCCTGACTCTGCACTCAGGAATTACCCATGGCGGTGCTCAGGGGACCATATGGGATGCTGGGAATCGAACCCGGGTCATCCGCATGCAAGGCAAATTCCCTCCCCGCTGTGCTACTGCTCCAACCCCCTGACTTGAAGGATTTTTAACGTACATTTTTAACCTTTCATAGTCTCCACATTCACCCTTTTTTTGTGGAAGCCCTGGAGCATACACCCAGTGGTGCTCAGGGCTTACTCCTAGCTCAGCGAGCACTCCTGGTGGCCTTGAGGGACTTTATGGGGTGCCGGGGATCAAACCCTGGTCAGTGGGCAAGGCAAGCGCCCTCCCCTCTGGCCTATCATTCCCGCCCCACCTGCCACATTCTTTAAAAACAGGCAGGAATTTCAATGGAAGAAATCCGCTGGCAGTGAATGGCCCGACACCCTAGGCTGCGAGTGAAAGCTCTATAGTCCAGAGCTTGCAAGAGTTTTGTTACGTTTCAGGCTATGCCCGTTTATTTATATTATGTTGGATCGCTGGTCAAAATATGATTTCATATGCTCAGTGTAATCTGTGTGTATATTTTGAAATTCATTTTTACTGTTCTGTTTTGCTTCATCGTTGCTTTCCTTTTCTTGTGTTTTCTGACCATCTTCTGAACCTGCACCTTTTCTCTGCCACTTTCCTCCACAGCACCTTCCCCACAGGGGCGTAGGCTGCACCCGAGTCCCAGCTCCCCCTCTCTCTATTGTGCCTCCCTCCACCTCAGTCAGTCCTGTCTCCTCCTCTCGGACTCTAGCCTCCCCCCTCATCCTTCTAGCCCTGTCAGCTCCGTTCTGAGGAAAAGTGTTTCTTTCAGTGAAGAGCTGTTCCTGGCCGCCTCTGGTAGGATCACATTATGTCAGCTTTTGTCAACCCTTGATTTCCAGTCCGTTTTTTTGAAAAGAAAAGAAAAGAAAAATAATCTCATGCTCTAAAGAATTACTGGGTGTTTTGCACAGGATGTCCTAACACTTGTTGCTCACAGTGAATCCGATCAGAACCAGGAGAGGTGATTGAGCGTTATGGGATGGGAACTTGCGGATATTCTGCAAGTAGAGCTTGGCATATTAAAAAACGTTCATGCCTGCGGACCTCGATGTGTGTGTTCCCAGTGGCCGAGGCGCTCGTTGGCAGAGGTTCTGTCCTAGACGCCCTCATTCTCTCCCCTCACGCCCACTCCATCCATGTGGGACCTGTGCCATCATGTTGCCAAGCCACAGCACTCCACGAGTGGATTATTCCATTTGACTCAGTTCACATTTGATTTTGGTGATGTCTTTCATGACCCTTCCCCCCCCGTCCATTATATGAATTGTCAAATTTATTCCGCTCTATTTTCTGATATTTAATTTATCTGCAAAACTGCATTTTATTTTGTGGCTCTCAAGACGCTTCAGAGACCCGAATTTTATTTCTACGGTTAGTATTGTATAGTCTCCAAAAATCACGTGTAGGTTATTTCGAGTGAAATGAACTACTTAAAAAAAATTTTTTTTTTTAAGAACCCAGAATGGGACTATACACATGCTATCCTTTGTTTCCTTATCCAAGAACAGCTAAAAATGTCAAAGGAAATTAGTCCTTTTTTAACAGTCACTAGACTCAGCCCATCTTTAGTTTGGGAAGGGTGGGGCTGAGCTCCAGTCTCTAGAGAGGCTTTCACCTGTGCTATGCTTTTTGTAATTCTTTGGCCGTAGATTGTCTGTTGGTATTAACAAAAAAAGTAAAATAGGGGAAAAAAATTCAAAATTAAGCCTTCAAAATACATATGAGATTTGGGAAATAGAATTCTTTCATCCATTACTACGTACATTTGTGATGTGTTTATTATATGTCTGTGATTTTTTTTTAGTTTAAAAAATTTATGTTGACTTTTAAAACTGAGTGTTGCAAAGTTTGAATAGTAATACTGTTTTGTCATCAATAGTATGTTCGAAATAGGAAGTCACTAGGAAATAGATTTGACTATTTTTATATTTTTTATATTTTAAATAAGCCTAACGAGTGCATTTCTCTACTTTAAAAACAAAACATTTACTGTTGCTCATTTCTACTGGCGTTATTTTTTTTAACGTTATCTTGTTAAAGACTCAGCTTTTAAATACACAAGTTCATCACGGCTAACGTAATTTTTAAAATAAACCGTAGAACACACTCTAGAGCTAGCTGTGAGCAGTGGCACTTTGAGAGTCTTGCTCCTAACGGAAGCTGGCAAGTCAGAGACGTTCTAGTTGTCATCCCCAAGACAGTCAATGTCTGCATTGTTGGAACAGATTTGACTCATGATGTTGATGAACACGAATGTCATTAAGCTTTCGCTGTCTGTTGCTTTGTGTCGGTCGTTGTTCACGTGCTGCTGTTCTCTAGGGATGGGCAGTGGCAGCGCCGGGAAGGAAGGGGGCCCCTTCAAGGCCCTTCTCCGACAGCAGACTCAGTCGGCCCTGGAGCAGAGGGTAAGGCTCACGCGCTTGGTTTTCACACCGCCGAGAGGTTCTAATATCACGCTTCCATTCATAAGTTATTTCCATAGCTTCTACATGGAAATTTGTGGTTTTGAAGCCCGAAATGTGTTTAAGGTATCAAAGTAATGTGTTGATAAATGATCATTTTTTTTTAAATGGGCCAACTCTGCGGCTTCTTGTTTCATCTCCCAGTCTTTTCTGAGAAACGTTCTGTTGGGAAGTCTGCGAATGAAGAACTCATTTCTAACTTTATGTTAGTTATGCAACATAAAGGGGAAAAGTGGGTATTTTCCCAGAAAACATGACATTGAATTCAGTTATATGAACATATTACCAAACTATATTAATTTTGATTGAATTGAACTAAATCATCAATTATGATTGATTTAATTATAATGGAATTATGTTTAAAATATTGATAAATTTGTTTTCTGAGATGATCTGATCACCAGCTAATAATATCTCGGTGTAAGAAGTACAGAGATTGTTTATTTCTATAAATTAAATATAAAGAAGATGATTTTATTCAGTGTGTTCCTCTAGTTTAATTATTAGAAGTTTAATATTTAAAGATGTTAAGTGGAAAAATGAGTACCGTTTTTGGATGATTTTTCTCTTTATTTTTATTTTCCGTGTAAACTTCCTTGCTAAGGGAGGATCGCCTCATAAGTTCTGTAGAAGGCGGGTAGGTCTCTGTGCGTGTGTGACCCCTGTTGCTTGTTTCGGTAGCTTTCCTAGTTCTCATTTTGATCATTCAAGTTTTATTTATGCTTTTAACAAGTGTTGCCAGCTTCTTTTCTTTTCATAGTGCAAGACTAAAACTTCTTTAAATAGTACTATGAGGTTCATGATTTTTGCCTTTGTTTTTCTACATATCTAATACATACAGTGCATGGTTTTCTATGTCATGTCAGCTCTGTGAAGGCCAGTTCCATAACTTTCATTATGTCCACTTTCAAAATCGTGTTTAGAGGATTTTTCTTCCACATGTTCCATTTTACACTAACTGTTAAAAAAAAAAGATGAAATAGCAAATACATTTTAAAGACAAAACTATTTTTCCCCCCCAGAGGTTGGTTTTTGAGAATAGTGTTTTCCTGATTCTGTTATGACAAATAACACAGTTACTTTCTTTTCGAGTCTCTGATGCTAATATTATCTGTGTGAAAAGGCACCGTCTCTGTACACAGTGCCGGAGGGAGCTTAGTGATGAGTGATGAGACGCAGCTGTACCTAGCTCTCTGTTCTCAGCCACTCTTAGAATTTGCAAATGTCCCAGCTACTCATTAAAAAGCCCCCTAATTCAAACTGTTGAAACCAACTACAGGAAAAGGCTGAAAACATCAAGATGATCGAGTGAAGGTGTGTGTATTCACTTAGCAGGGTTTTTTTTAACCAGAATGCTCTTACTTTACACCCACCCTTCTACTTTTTATTCTCTTCTGAGTCCCCCAGACTAGCAGTATTCCCTGTCATCTTAACTGCCATTCTTCACATGAACAGAAAAACATGAACTGCCCCGAACTATGATAGAATGAGATTTTTGCTTGTATATTGTGTCTGTGACTTTATATAGTAAGAATCTAGGAAAGCATCCGTGTTTTTCCTTTCCAGGAAAAAATGTCACTGGTCAGTGAAAATAGTTTCGAATGAAATCTGTGTTTTCAAATATACTTTGAAATATATTTGGATGTGTTAACACAATGGGTTTACGTTGTTAGAGAATCTTCATGGAATTAATAGTAAATGTGTGACTGTAATTTTTATTTACAACTTTGTAAAAACCAAGTTGGCAGTATTCGTTGCCTAACTTCGTCACAAGTATCTGAATTTATGAGACACACGATCGAATCCCTTCACCTCTCCCGCTGGTCTGTCTCTTGGGCCCTGCAAGGCCTTCTCGAGTTCCCATTTTCCACCTATGACATGGCAGTGCCAACACCTCCCCCTCAAGTCGGGGGAAGATAGGTGAAGCATATCTGAGATCCTTTGCAGGGCCAGCGTCACTGTGAAAGGCATTCCAAAGACGTGTGGTGCAGCGTCTTTTTTTTTTTTCTAATTTTAATTTTTTTTTAAATTGAATCACTGTGAGATATAATTACAAAGCTTTCATGTTTGAGTTGCAGTCATACAATGATGGAACACCCATCCCTCCACCGGTGCAGTGTCTTTAAGGAGACTGACTTGTCTGCACACGGCCTTTTGCTTAGAGAACAGTGCCACTTAGATTTGCTGCCGGATGAGCTCCGGGCGTGCAGGAGAGAATTGAAGAGGACGTGCGCCTGCCTGGTGCCTCTGGACTCCCATAGTCCACTTCTGCCCTTTCCCTTTTTCTCTCTTGAGGCTGTTTTCCGAAACTGGGGGAGAAGAGCACAAGAGTCTTTAAGTAGGAAACTCCTTTAGGTTCAGATTTTCATGCTTACCTCTAACCTAATGCCGTAGATCTTTCCATAATGTCAATTTATCTCTTCAGTTTCTCAGTTTAGAACCTAGTACCATTTTCCATTTAAAAATATTAGCACAAATCTATTCTCAGAGATTTTTTTATTTTTCACTTTTGTCCAGATGTATAAATAGTAAATGTAAAATGCTTTGTGTTCTGTGCTACTGTGTCATATGCTTGACGTGTACTGTGGAAGAATGTGGAACTTTGTTCTTTAAATTGGACAAAACCCTAAAAGACCTAAGCGAGATGATAAAAATACTTAAAATTCTAATAATTCCAGCTTGCCTCATTTAAAATCCGAGGTGGACACAAGGAGGCATTTTGACTTCCCCTTCTCTCATACATTGACATGGAATTCCTCTCATTCTCCTTCCTTCCTTTCTCCCTAGCCTACTGGCTGGGCCTTGCCGGAGCAAATTAATACATACATATAAATGATTTTTTGTTTGTTTGTTTTTGGGTCACACCCAGTGATGCACAGGGGTTAATCCTGGCTCATGCACTCAGGAATTACTTCTGTTGGTGCTCGGGGGACCATATGGGATGCTGGGAATCGAACCCGGGTCAGTTGCGTGCAAGGCAAATGCCCTATGCACTGTAATATCGCTCCATCCGCTAATATATATATGTATATATATATTAACTTTCATTTTTTTTTATTAACATAGGCCAGGAATTTTTTTTTTCTTTTTTTGGTTTTTGGGTCACACCCCGCCGATGCATACACAGGAGGGCTTATTCCTGGCTCATGCACTCAGGAATCATTCCTGGAGGTGCTCGGGGAGGTAGCACCCTCTGGGATGCTGGGAATCGAACCCGGGTCGGCCTCGTGTAAGGCAAACGCGCCCCCCCCCACGCTGTGCTCTCCTTGCCCCCCCCCCCCCCCCCCCGAGTTCTCTGGACCCTGTGGAGTTGCAGGCTGGCAACCCGACAGCCTGAGCGCTCTGGCCCCACATGCTGTGTTGGCGCCTGCCACGCACACGGCTCCGTCCGCGCGTCCCTGTCACGCGGGGCACCCCCTGCCTGTGTGGGGCCTCGTGGTGCAGCAGCGTGCCCGGCGAGCACCCTGCGGAGAGCCCTGGGCTGCCCGCACCCTTCCTTGCCTCCTGCCGGCGCCGCGTGCGCCCTTCTGTCTCGGGTCCGCGTGGCTTCGCTGTCCCCGACAAGGACGGGAAGCAGGTGCCTCGGGAGACCTCTAGGGGTCCCGTGTCCTGGCTCTGCGCTTTTGACGGCTGTATAGTACTCCACGCCGGTCCCCTTTCCGTACTTTGTTCCCCTACCGAACTGGGTTAGGTTGGTTTTTTTTTGGGGGGAGGGGTTCTTTTTTTGGTTCCTTTTTTTTTTTTTTTTTGCTTTTCCGGTCACACCCTGTGATGCTCAGGGGGGTCCCTCCTGGCTCTGCTCCCCTCCGGACCCCGTTTCGCTCCACAGTCTGAAGCGACCTGGTCCGACTCCCCCTCGGACCCCGGACTGCCCTCCGGCTTCCCCCCCACTTCCTCTCAGAGAGCCGCCCTCCCCCCATCCCCCCCCCGCGCTTGGGGGGCGCAGACAGGGGACCCCCGTCCCCGTCTCCCGAGGGTGCAGGACGAGCGTGTCTGAAGAAACGCCTCAGACAGGAGCGCCAGGGACCCTTTTTTTTCGCCCCCTCCCCGTCGAGGGCTGACAGGAACCGTTTGAATCCCGCAGCTCAGGACGCAGGTCCCTGACGGGCCGGGGGTCCGGGTGGGGGGTGGGTTTTAAAACGTCTGTCCCCCCGGGAATGCTGTGACACTGCACGTGCCTCAGAGGTCGCCGCGCAGCCTCTCGGTGGGAGGGGGCGGGGAGAGGCTGGATCTTCCCTGACTGAGATGGGACGTTTGGCCGGCACGGCACCGGGGGAAACTGAGGCAGGAAGCCCCCCACCCCCCACCTCACCCCGACTCACGCTCAGCCGCGCTTCCTCCCCCCCCCCCCAGGAGTTCCCGTTCTTCACGCTGACGGCCTTCCCGCCCGGCTTCCTCGTGCACGTCGGGGGCGTGGTGAGCGCGCGCTCCGTCAAGCTCCTGGACCGCATCCACAACCCCGGTACGTCCTTCCGGCCGGCCGTCCCGCTGGCGCGCGTCTGTGTTCCCGGGGTTGGCTTGTGACGGGGGAAATCCAAAAGGTTTATCGTGATTTAGGGGATGTTCTTTCAGAAAACGAAGGCAGTCAGTCTGAGAAGATCAGTGGTGGCGTATGTACGGGGTGAATCGGTGACCTGCCTCTTGGGAATTTGCAGTGACCCGAATGTAGAAAAAAATGCAGTGACTCGAATGACAGAAGAATGCAGTGAAGTCTGTTTTGGTTCATTTCTCTTATTTTTTTTTTTTGGGGGGCCAAACAGACAACAGATTGATTAGTTTTTTTCGCCCCCCTCCCCCCCCACCGTGTGTCCTGTCATTTTTGAGTCAGCTGTTTTCTTTGACCCAGCCAGATAACAAATTTTCACCATTTTAACCACGACGGACCCTTAATTTTAAGATGTTAGTCTCTTTGCCACGATCTGCCACTCCTAGGAGATTTGAGTGATTTGCTTATTTCTACCGGAAGTCTTCTTTAAGATTTAATTGTGAGTATATTGTATAGAGTCTCTGGCTGATTCCTCACTTTCCCCTATGCAGTGATTTCTTGTATAGAAGTGAATACCAATACTAGCTCACTTCTTTAAATCATGAGAGCATGATTCTAAAAGAAGCTAGGTATCAGCATGCAATAATTTCAGGCCTTTGCATTCATTAGAAATGCTTTGGAGGTTTTTCTTAATCTAAAATAAAAATACTGATGTGGGAACTTTGTTTCTGGAATGTGTTCTCACACCTCTCCTCGACCCCAGGACTTCCTGATTGGTCTCATTTATTTTATCGATGACGTACCTTACGTCTGAAGTTACATTGATACCCCTGTTATCACATACGCATCTATTTTTGAAAAAAATTTAAATGATCCTTTCCAGTAACCTCTTTCTGAGGCTTAAGTTGACTGCCGAATAAAGAGTGAAATGCTTTGAAATTATGGTATGCAGAACGTTTGTGCATAGTGATTTTGAGGCTACAGAGCAAAAATTTTAACAAATTGAAAAACTAAAAAAGCACTTGAATTTTTGCCCTGTGATTTGATGCCACTTGAGTTAGTAATTACAGAGAAATAGAATGGAGTTTTTCTAGACTTTGGGTAAAGTTTCAGAAAAGCAATACCGTGTCAGACTGCCTAATGCCAATTCTGGGTAGATAACATCTTTGAAGCACGGGTCTTCTTTTTTCCTTCTCTGGTTTATTTTGTTTCCCCTGACTCTTATTTTTCTGGTGAGCTTAAAAATCCTTTCTTCATTGTAATATGGATATATTCTATACTATCATAATTAATCGAAAATTTAGATTGATGCCAACGTAACCAGTGCATTGAGGCTTGAAGACTGTTCCAAGTTCCTCATTTGGGAGGGAAGTAGGGAAGGGGTCTGGGCATCCTGTATCCCTGATCCCGTGCTCCAGAGTCATCTCTGGAGATGCTCAGGGGACCATATGGATGCTGCCGGGGACTCAAACCAGGGTCAGTGGGATACAAGGCCAGGGCCTTAACCCCGGGCTCTCTCTCCGCCCTTCTCCCCGCCCTCCTCCTCCTTTCCCAGTTCCTTATTTTGAATCGTATGGAAAGTGCAAGGAAGGTTTGAGTGATGAGATTTGACACTAACTGTGTTATGGAGGGCTAGTGCCAGGTGTTTATTTGGTTTGTTAACTCACTCACATAGATGGTACAGGCTGAGATGAGAGCCTCCAGATGATATCCCAGCAGTACCTTAAACTGGGATATCTCCTTCTTACGGAAAGCATTTTGATTTTACTCTGTTTCTTCCATGAACTCTGAGTCAGCTAGAGAGTCTGGGAGGATAAAATGGAGTCTCTCCAAGTTTAAGTAGAGATCTGTTATTTATAATCACATTGAATTTTTTTTTTCTTTTTCAAAAAAAAATATAACCTGCTTTTGGGCCTTTTTTTCCCCCCTTGCCTATTCATTATAGCTAGGAAGAAATGAAAGAATCCAGCCTCGGGGAAGAAATCAGGATCCCTTGTTACCAAAATGTTTGTGTGTTGGTCACAGTTACTGTCTGGACCATTCCGGTTTTTTCTTCCCCTTGCGCAGTATTTTTTTCAGTCCACATACAGAAATTCTCAGTTATTAAGGCTATTTCCCAAAAGGCTTATGAGCATATATGCAATAAATATAATGGCATATGAGTAGTTTTTATTTCATCATCACATAAATACAAATTATCGATAGATTCTAATGACTCCAGTATACTATCTTGATATAACAATTATTTTGGGGGGCAGATAAGAAGTTTTGATATAACTATAATTCTTTGGATTATCTTCTAGGTAATATTTTGCGCTAAAAATGTTTCCTTCATCTCCATGCCCCTTAAGTAACTATTCACGAAACAAATTAATCTGTTGAAAAAGCTTCATTGTAAAGCCCAGTTCTAGGTTGGTGTTTAGCACGTGGCGGTGCATTCAGTTTCACGACTTGGAATCGGCCTCCAGAGGGGCCCTGGGCTCAGACACTGCATCACTGTTGCAAGTGCTGTATTTGCGCTCCTAAAGGAACCTCGCCACTCTGCTTTGGCTGGTGAAGATGGAGGAATTTCTATTTCACACCCAAGTGTAGGACAGAAATCCCATTTCGAGACCCTAGCCACGCATGACTCCTTGGATGATTACTTTTGGGATTCCTTTTCTTCAGAACCTCTTTGTGAAATATTAAGCGAATAAGGTGACATAACAAGGAGGAAACGGGGTGGTTTGGCAATCCAGGTAATTCCCTCCAGTCCTGAGACTGTAGCTGACGCTAGACCGTGAGCGCATGCTCCTCCCGCCCTTCTATTTCTCCTTCTTATTAACTCTGCTGTCTGTCTTTCCAGTTCCTGTCGAGTGGCGTTGTCGAGTGTGTTCTTGTTTATAGTGTTTTGTCTTATTTCTCCTCTTCTGCACCTAAAACTGATCTCCTAATTTGCTGTTTTGAACTCAGCCTTTGTCGGAATTATGGGTAACACAAGACCTTACAAACTGCTAGACTGGAATAGTTTCAATTCAGGTATTTTAACGGTCATTCAGTACTACATATGCTGACAAAAATTATGGCAGCTCAGTGAAGTTTTTAGAGATGCTGTAGATTAAATAGGTTTAATGTCAATCGAGTCATACAGATACATTCTGCAATGTGTGTAACTCGTAATTCCCATTGGAAGTGCACAATAAAAATGCGCTAACTAAAACGAATTAAAATTGTAGAAATACCATTAATTACAAATAGCTTTTATTCGTAGAAATACCATTCATTACAAATAGCCTGTTAGGTAATTAGCTTTCAGAATGATGATTTTAAATTATTACGGTTTATTTTGGATAGTTTATTCCTATCAGGTAAATGATAGGCACTAGCTTTATAATCAATTTTAAGATGTTAATTATTAATTTTAAGTATAAATTATTAACTTGATAATTAAAGTATGCTTAAACTATTTTTAATATGTTTTTGTTCGATTATTACTATAAAAGTGTAATAACATTTTTATTTATAATCCTAGCAAATCCTTTAATCCTACCAAAGTTTGGTAAGTAAGAATAGATTCTGGGAGGATTATCGGCTTTCATAAGCATTCCTCTTTTCTCTTCTGTGTAAGAATATAATTTTTCTTTTTAAGTAATTTTGCATATGAGTCTAGCCTACAGTTTTGAAATAAACTAAAGTTAGCTTTACAGCTGATGATGTGGTTTAGAGTCAAAGCCAACTTTTTTTTTGAATATCAAAGCATTTTGTATCAATACCTGAATATCTAAATTTTGTTGCTGATATTGGAATTAATGAAATAGTAGAAACCTCTTAATTGAGTACCAGAAGCTGGTATCTTAAAGAACAATTTTAGCTCTTGGTATCAAAAAGTGAATGTCGTGACAGAAAACAGAGACAGAACCTCCAGGAGGCTTAAGTGTTTAGCTGATGTCCCATGATCCTTTCAATATCGTAAACTCTTTTGTCCTTAGGAGTCCGAGGTTTAAGTTCCGATGTAAGTAATGCATGTTTGACTATGAAGTGACTCATGTTCACCTTGCAGATTTACCTCAATTCAGTCTAATAAACAATCTGATTAGGTCCAACCTTTGCAGATTCAGACTGACATTATTTGGTAAATCTTTAGGGGAAATTGCTTCTTTTTCCTATCTAAGTTTTTGCCACCGTGTCATCATACCAATTAGAATGAAAAAAATAAAACCCAATTTTTATTGTGTCATTTTAGTAGGAAATTAAGAATACATGCTGAATTATTTAATACAAATAAGAATGTGCATTTAAAAACAGGCATGTTTAGTGGGAAGACAAAAATTCCCAGTTATGTAAGAAAAGAATATTGAGGGCAGATTTATCATTAATAATTTAAGGAGCTGAAACCTTGTCAGGGCCAAGGTGTTTAGAATAAGATGTGTATTTGATTGAACATATATATATAATCTTCCAGCCACAGTAGAGAGAGACTTGGTGTCATCTAAGAGGAATTGTCGGTTTTGGCAAGGAGAAGTGTGGTTGAGGAAGCAGTATATCTTGCCATCATTTTAAATAAAGTCAGGTATATGGAAAAAAATGGATAGAAGTTACAGAATGTTAAATGAATGTCAACAGTGACACACTTTCCATATAAATAGTGCGCTTTTGGTTGAAGTTTTAGAATCAGGTCATTGCCGGTACATCCTTGTAACATCTTGGTAAGGCAGATTTTGATGTTAGTTTAGGAAAATAACTTGATAATTAGGGGCGGGGGGAACGTGGTCCCTCTGGCAAATATGTTGAAATGATTTCTGTATTCTCTGTAATTAGAGAATGTTTAGCTAATTCTCTCTTGTGTCACCGTAGAAAATCAAGAATGGACTCATTAAGGAGAAGCACTTTCTAAGGCTTTTAGTGAAGCCAGGAAATGTTAATCTGTTTTGTGTTTTCTGGGTTCTCTGCCACGAGGTGTTAGGATGTGCCTTATTATCCATTTAGTAATAATTGTC